ACCTTTAAACAGGACCGGCCTGCAAGAAGGCTGAAGTACAAGCCTATCAGCCCAGTACCGTCACTCTTATTAATTGCACTGATTTTTGAGGAGAGAGTCTTTGAAAATGACAGAGGAGGCACAGCAAAAGCGGATACGAAGCGCTGAAAGCTGTTGCAAGTAACCCTCGAAAGCTGCCTATGTCTAGGTACGAATTTCCAGGTAGGACTGCAGTCCCACAAGTCACCCATTAAAGTCACATGGCCTGGATGTCCAGGTCATGCTTGCGTGACCTCGAGTGTTTGGGTGGTAGTGTTTGATTAATAGTGCTAAGTGACCTGTATAACAGGGGTGCTTAAAATATTTGGTTATCAGTCACAGTGAGTTAGGCAAAGGTAATTTGTTAGCACACAATTTTGTTAAATAATTTGGGCATTTACTTCAGTCTGCAGCGCATATTGGTTGCTAAAACAACTCAAACATTGACTTGATGAATGAAAATGATCCGAAGTCTCGGTGTGAACAGGACCAATCGATTTTATTCAAATAACGACGTCATTTTACGTTTTCGTTTTCAGAAATGGTAGTTGACATTGACACTCGTTAAGGAACATTCACCGAATGTTAACGGAACTCATTTGTCCCGCTCTGCCTTGGGTTTTACATCTGACAGTAGCCATAGCAGCTAGTACTCTTAGACAGACAATATTGTCGGCAAAGACCAGGCAGACTGGAATGGCCATTTTTGCCTTATTAACCGTGGTCAACTAGTCATTACCAATCGCAAGTAGTACACAACCCAAGGCTCGAACTCGCAACCCTTCTCAATCAGAGTCAAACGCTCTAGTATCACTCCGAGTGAGCAATGACCTCATTTTGTTAGTATACTTTCAACAGTCGACACAAGCAAATCTGTTTTAGAGTATTCAGTATACGTTGGCGGGTCCGTAAGTAAAGGCATGCACCAGCATAAACTTCATCCGCAGCTAGAGGAACAAGGACTGGCGACCTAAAAATATTACAGCAACGTTTGCCTTTCAACATCTATTGCCAAGTAGGTTACGCGGCTCAAACAGCCTGGTAGTTGTTCAGGGTCGTGAGTATAAAAGGTCACATGAGGACAGCAGGCAATTTCATCCACCCGCATTTGGTGCAAGAAACTGGTGGTTGGGGGCTGTCAATGTCGTGTTGAGAATAGACTCTAGAGTAAATTCCAGCTGCCTTAGGCAGCTTTTGTCAACGGCAACAGTAGCCAAAATAAGATGGTATACAAGTGAATGATATACATGTATAAGAAGATATATACGTGGGACTGGGGTGTTCATCCGATCTATCTGGGTAGGGCATATACTTGCCCCGGAAGTGCCTTGAGGCTCGTACTTGAGTGATATCAGGCTGTCACTTAGCGACCTCAGACATATTATGAGTGGATCCGACTATATATATGCATATATAGTATGGAAGATAGTCACTTACCAATCGGTTGCGGAACTCACTCGTCCCGTCGTGCTTTGCTGTTCATTCTCGAGCCCTACCAGGAGCCGCACAACAGTAAGCATATAGTATATGCAGAAATATACTACCAGCAAAAACAAGGGGGACGAAAACGGTCATTTCATGCTTATTAGCCGTATGACTGGCTAATGGTCACTAATAAGTTAGAAATGTTTTTCCTTTCTCCCTTGTCTTTGTCGGTAATTTATATGTGCCTCGTCCAATTCGTTGCTAGATGAAAGTTGATCGATAACTACTTCATGATAATAAGACCTTAAGTCAGGATGTTCTATTTTGCTTACAAGAAGTATGGCAACCATCAACTGCCACGTGTAGATGACTAGGCGACCTTGAATTAGATGTCGCCAAAAAATAGGGTTTCTTTTCAATATTCAGTTCATTCACGTTTCGCGGTGGTTGCGCAGTGGGTACTTTTTGAGAAACAAGCAGTACCAGGGTTGAAGACGCAAAAGACTCAGCAGTGACTAAGCGAGCAATAAGCGCGACACGATTTAACTCAAAGAGAAGTGGAGTAGTTACTGTGAGTGACAGGAGCCTGTGATGCGAAGCTTCAGCCAAACCTAAACCGTAAATGCAGTTTCCCAGTCTTCATTATCATGCCATAACTGTCACGGTGGCTTTTAAACTAAGCGCTGACGGCAGGAGACTAAAGTTACAGCTATCGGCAAGTACTGCATTATTTTGCACTCATTGTAAACGCAGGCGAAGGATGATATTAAAAATCAAATTTCAAAGTAACGGCTTTGTAGTCCAATACGAGAAAGCTGTAAGTACTTCCAGTGTACTGACTTTGCGCCCCATACAGATATGAGAGCACCCCGTCCCGAAAGGGACCTTTATAGTTAAACTGTGGTTCACAAAGAGTTCAACTATATAAGCATCGGGGTTGCGTGGCGGTGCCTTAACGTGGAGGGGACTTAAATGCGAGCAGACTAGCATGGCATCTGCCTCACTAAATTCTTTCTACCACAAAATGTTCCGATGGTGAGAAAATGTTGAGAAAATCAGAGGTATTGAAGGTGGCATGGACTCAAAAGAACTAAGCCGCGACTGAACGCGCTAAATCCACGAACGCATTCTAAACTCCACAATTATCAAGTGTCGTTGAAGAGGGATTGGATGGAGTCAACGGTGAGTATTATTAGATGGATCCCCAGGAGCGCAGAAAGTTCCCACAACACAGATTGTTTGGCGCTAAATTCCGACTTAGCCAAGGTTAGGTTTAATTAAAGCTTTTGTAGTATGTTCAAGGTTGGGTTCCCGGTTAAGGTTACTAGGGGTTACAGGATTCACCATATTGACAGCACAGGCACTATCTAAAAGCCTGTAGACTGACTTACTCCAAGTTAGCGATAAAGTTACCGATGAAACAAAAAGGCAACAAGTTAAGATTAGTGTAAGTTTTACTTCTAATTTAAAGGTTCCGTATGGGGTTCGGACCAAGATTTGGGTGTGAGGCAGAACGGGGGCAATGCAGAGGTGGGGAGGAAGAGTGAGTGAGATCAACAGTTCAGCGTACTTTCCTCTTTACAAACAATTTGAAACGCTTGAAGCTACCACAGTGCGCTACAATCTTTGGCTTGGAAAGTTGCCAAATGACATTATAGCTCGGAACACGTGGTCAGCCCAGACTGACGAACTGAGAGTCAGGCTGCAATGGCCCTTTCCTAATGTAGCCTTTAAGGCCCTCCCATCAAGCTGCAATCCAAGCCAGGTGTGGCGGCAAGCTTAGAGGTGGTTTTCGGTTGCGCTAGCCACCACCG